ACAGCTAATTTTAGCCCTCCAGTTTCGCTGATTCTTCACTACAATAATATAAAACAAAGTCGCTTTCGCTGTTCTTATATCCCTATGAATGCTTAAATCTTTAAAACTTCGCAACGGATTTTAATGCGGTTTTTTTTCATAGATAGAGTGATTCAAAAGGAAAGTATACATTTTAATGTATAATACAAGACCACGCGGGCGAAGCCGCTTGCAGAAAGCTAGTTAATTATAATAATCTGAGCTTTGTGTTTGCATTAATTAGTCTAGTAATTTATATTTTCCATGAAAAAACCTGTTCAAATAATCCCAGCCATTTGTAACTGATCCTAAATTTATTTATTTAATTCGTCATTGAAATCAACAGCATTAAAGTTTGTGCTTATAAATTATATGTTATAATTCGCAAAGTCATTTACAGGTTTCTAATATATATGTATGTTATTGTTGAATAAACCCGGTGCTTATACTAGTCTATTTTGCTTATATTGTATCAAAAGAAAAATAGAATACCGGACGCATTATGTATAAACACTTATTGTTGTAAAACAAACATATTGTGTGAGCTACCTTTTATTACTTTTGTACTATTTTAATAACTTAACATTTACTTTCTATTTTTTTCTTACATTTAATTTTAAATTTATATTCTTCTCATTACTTACCAAGTTGAATATCAGATTCCTTCCGCATCCCCGTATGTACAAAATAATGTGTTAAGAAAGAAGATACCAACAAAGAGCATTTGTGTTATCAATGATATTACAGGATCGTCTCAATTTCATTGCACCCTTCTAAGATCGATTTTGAATACTAACGTGTAATGTATACGCTCTATCAAAGGGGCTCTCTCAATAGGGACGGCTACTGGACGCTGGATTAAATGGAAGGATTACAATATTTTACTGAACTTTTTTTAAAGGATACTCTAAGCATCAACAGCACCTTTACGTCCCCGATGCAGAGGCACAGGCCTTTCTTATATGGATGGTTAAGGAGAACGGGCCATAACCCACCACGCGACCCAGTTTGATTTGGTTCGGTATTAACGATTGCAAGCTATAAGAGGAGCTCGAGATAATAAATAAATAAATATTAGATTCCGTTCATATGGAAGACAGGTCACTACATTAAGAGGCTATTGATATTTTGTAAAAGAGTACATAATTGAATTAAGAATCATTTATACCTACATGCAAATAAATCAGTGGCTCACTCGAGTTGCCGGCTGAAAATCAACATTGCAGTCTACTGAAGTATTATTTCCAGCAGGGACGTGAAAGCAAATTATAAGTGTTGATAATACGATAATAATATGACTACACTCAAGGACGTACCTGCTGGAAATATTCATTATTGAGATTATTATTATTGCTGTTAATATTCTAATGTAAATTGTGAAATTATATAAACAAATTGTTCAATTATTCAAATATTTTCCAGAAGTATAATTCTTGATTATGTATAAACGTTTTTCATTTTTTCTTATCACTGTTCGAGGTAGGTTCCATGAATAATGAATTTATTGATAAGGAAAACTATGTATTTATAAAAGATATTGTTGATGTTTCCTGAAATAAAACCTTGCTTGGAAAATGTAAGTGGGTAGTGCATAAGCGCTGCGGCACGCGATCATTTTTGTTAAGCAACTTTCGCAAGTGTCGTTCACGGGATGGGTGGCTAAAAATATTATCTAGATCTATTCCAGACTCATGGCTGATTTATCAAGATACCATTGTGCATATAAAGACATCTATTTTATTTCCCGCTAGAACGGTACAATCAAAAAATACAACCATTTGTAATGTTTGTATATCGGCATCATTACGTTAACATTCGAAGAATTTTCAACATTTAGTTCAATGATAGAGAGTTATAACTTCTGTAAAATATTCCTTTCTCACTTACTGAAAGGGAAACCTAAACATTTGCGCGTAGTTGTTTGTTTAATTGGCGTCGTGTTACAGCAGCGTAAAGTTGACGAGCACATATATGCAGGAACGGGAACCAATTAGACGCACTTCCCGCTACTTTTGACATGAAACTTCTCCCTTTGCCGGTACTTTAGCCGATTCTTTTGTAACTTAACGTGCCTGTAACAGAGACCAAAATTGAATGTTGCCGACGATAGACCTTTGCCATTGACCGTTTTCAAACATTATTGTTTGCATGGTTCCGTATAATGTTTCATGAAAACACTTAAGGTAGAAACTTTTATGAACTAGAGTCCTTAAGTTTAAATACATAGGGTGCGCGTCAATTATATGGTATTATATATTATTTCATATGGTATACATTTACCCTCCAATCCGCATTGGGCCAGCGTGGAGGGTCATGGCCCATCCTCCTTAACCATCCATAAGGAAGGCCTGAGCCCCTGCAGTGGGGACGTAAAAGAGCTGGTGGTGATGGGATACATTTACATAAACGTGGCTCGATCTGTGGTTTCATGTTATATCTATAGCAGAGTTCAATTCTCATGGGATCGATGAAGCCACATGACAATTATTTCATTATCCTTCTTTCAAAAATGGCTTTATTTTCCCTAAGAGTGCACCAATGACGTAAATTCCGGTGCTTTCGAGCGACGTGGGTGATAATTACAGTAAGTTCTATATTAATTGTACTGCACTACATAGTCTCTTCGTGATGTTCCGTCGGCCTCTAGTTATAATTGTATACAACCGTAACTATATTTTAGTTTCGATATTCATTTGTATTTTCCAGATGATGTCGTTTTTGAAAATAGTGTCTCATTTTTATTACTTATCATAATCAACATATTATACCTGCAGAAATGTAATCGAATTATTGAGGTGTCAGTTGGCATAAGTCTTTATAGTCGTAGTCTATTACGAAGCTTTTTAGCGAGAACTAACTTTTTCTATCGCTTTTCTTGTTTAAAATATTTTTCTTCTGTGAAAAATCATGAAATCTATATACAGTTGTCTATTTTCTCATTAGGAATTAAAACGTGATTTTATATAGCATACTAACATAAAAACAAGGTTCATTAAAAACATGAGTAGATATTAAAAAATATGAAAATAATTTTTACGAAGTTTTATTTTGTAGCATTATTTCCAAGCTCATCATCCAAAAATAACCTTCATAAAAAAAAGATAACCAATCTGCTCTCTGATGTGAAGTAAAATTTAACAGGTCGTATAACTTTATATGATGTAAAACGCTTTCCAGTTTTCGCTGGAGGAATGTAAAAACGCGCTTGTGGAATATAAACGGGAAATTGTAGAAACATTTCGTATCTAGAGTTGCCGTTTAGGAAAGTATAAAACTTTACTGGAAATCACATGACTGTGAATAATAAAACTAAAATTTCCAAATATTTTCATTGATATTCGTAATTTTATGGTTTGTAGAAAATTATTTGACTTATTCGAAGATGAAGAGTCTCATTTATATATAATACACTTCGTTATCGGACACAGTATGTCCCCAGTACCCTCAAACTCATGCTAACGTAATAATGGCATCACAATGGTGTCTTAAGTACATATTTACATTTTGCTATTGTATCTTATGCCCAATATTATTAGTATAATATCTTCTTTATAAACCAATGGTGGCAGATACGATTGTTATTTTGTGATCTAGTAACAAGAACTGAGGAAAACAGTTGTTATTGAAATGTCATTAACTCGTTATAATTAAGCCAACATTATTACGAGTAGAATTAGGGACCAAGGATTGTGATCGTTGTTTTATTTGTTGTTTATGTAGGAACGTTGATTAATATTACCTGTCCAACTGCTCTGGTTTCGTGTTATATTTAAACTGATGGTAGTTTTCTACGGATGATTTATTTAAGAGGATATTATCTTTTTATTTGAAGATTTAGTGGATTATTACGATGGATAAAGATACCAGTTTTGTGACAAAATTTTCCTCAATCAACTAAAGGTGTTATCTCTTAAAAATAGTTTTAAGTCATTCCACATTTTTTTTTTAAATTTTATGTCGTTATTTAGATAATGTTTTGACGGATTACAGTGAAGCAAAAAAGTGTGTTACAAAGATGACTGGTGTTTCATTTCATGTGTTGTATATCCTCAACGTTTTCTTTTGAAATAAATAAATAATTAATAAAGAAATAAACAGCACTAGTTAGTATTTAAGTAATTGTAATCGACCTATCTTATTACCTTCTTATTGTCAGTGCGCAATCACCTATTGATTATAAATTAACAGTATTTTATATTGATAATAATAAAGTATCTATTTCACGCATCAATGAAATTGATTTACATTTAAAATAATTTGTTACATTTCGAGCTGTATGAAGATTAGCTACCAGATAGACCCGTTGATCTGATTTCACTATTGGTGAGCTATTGCCTTGTTACTATTGCCTTATATTTGTATTCATTAGCTAGCTATTATTATTAAGAATGTATTAGGATTTGGTATCTCATTTAAAAAAAGCTTTTTTATCAAATTTAAAAATAGGATGGAGATTCATATATATTTAATATTACTTACTCTCTAAAACGCAGTGGATGGAGTTCGTTGGAGCTGTAGATGCCTGATCTGAGTTTATGCTGTAAATTATGGTCTTAGATTTACTATAGGATTAAGGCCTTGCCTTGCTTATCAGAAAGTTTTTATTTTGCTACATAACAATCGTCTTTTTATTATTTCATACAATGTTAAGATCAAAACGAACGCCCAGTATATTTAATATTCGAAACGCAAATGAACAAATAAAGTGCTGCATTACTTGAACGAGTTGTTCTTTACCCTTTGCATTAAATAAATTTAACACTCTGAGTGTTCATCGAATCAAATATCTATCAGTGTTAATACATACTACAAATAAATAAATTCGAGCGTCTGTTTGTAATATTAAAATAACCGCTTTTAACTAAATCATATGTATATTAACACGCTACATATACTAAAATAACGTTTATTGTCTGTCTGTTTGTTCCGGCTAGTCTCTGAAATGACGGGACTTTCACGGGCAGATAGCTTATCTAAGGAGTAACTTAGCGTAAGTTTCTAATTAAGTTACGGGAACAGCTAGTTCTGTCAGATAATTAGCATCGAACTCGACGTCGAGTACAGCGTTGTTATAGCGTACCTCTATCCAATAAATCCATAGTTACGTTTTGAAGTCGATTTTATTTGATTGAACTTCTATGCTGTAATAGCACTGCCACAGACTCTGCGTCCAGTTCGATTTTACAGATTACCACTGCAATAAATTGTACAGTCTGGAACCATCAATCTATATTTATTTAACTGCGAAGTTAATATTATAGCATACTTTAAAAAAAACTCTAAAATCATTTTATTAAAGTTTACTTTTTTATATGGTTATAGGGTATCTTTACTCTTTAAGTAGATTATCTACTGTTTATATAGCAATAAAAACACTCAATAGCTCTTTATAAAATCTTCATATGGGTATCTGAAGCTAGTGAATGTAAAAATATCATAATGGAAGTACACATCTCTTCTATAGCTTTTGTTTTACTACTGATAAATTTTGGAACGTGTTTGCGTTTAAAAAATGGTAAGTCGCTAATTTCCTTTATAAATACTTAGCCGAAATTTTGTTATAATTTGGTGCAGTCGTCCGCTGTCGTCATTTTTATATATATATTCAGATAATTATATAGGTTTTGTTTCGTTAAAAATTATGTAAATTGTAGGTAAGAACTATTGAAATATTAATATTGTGTGATAGTACACTTTTATGTCCACATTGGTTTGTAATTAACCTCTCTGTATACCTCTTTATATTATATTATAAACAGGTAGATTTGATTTACCTTTTACCTTTCACCAGAAGCTACATCACACGTTATAATTTACGTCAGCAATGTCGCGGAAAAACACTTAGTCGGTGATATACAAACTTCATTCAGAGTATTACAATTATTAAAGGCTACTAACTTCTGCATTATTTTTCATAACCTATGATCAATAATATCCAGATTTAACAACCTTTTTGAAATTGCACTTAAAATTACACTTCCAAAATCCTACTTATTGTTAGTGTCGGACCAATGTGGACACAAATGTTCACAACGATCCATCATAAATCTTTTAAATGGAGCTTAGTGAATATTGGACAAACTTTTATGTCAATGCTAGACTATCTTCTAGAGAAGATGAACTTAAACTCTTTGCCTTATTATAGTAACGATTTGCATTATAGATTTTTGATTTAGTTACAACTCCGATATCAATAATTAATTTTGTTTAGTTTATTATAATGAATGAATGAATGAATGAATACTTTTATTGTACACCATAATTATAGTTGATTTTAACTAAAATATATATTTTTTAAATTTAGACACAAATGACATATCATCATCAAACGACTCAATCAATAAAATCTACAGAATCGGCGTCGACATGGGAATAATTAATACAGAAAAATACGCTGTAGAAGCATTTGCCAGAGACGAACAAAATGTCTTCAGAGATTTATACAAGGAGTATATCTCGATGAATGGCAGCCGGTTGATTCATTATGACGAGTGGCTCGTTATGAACAACTTTGGCGTGCTTCCTGATACCCAGGAGTCATTGTTTGAGAGGAAAATTACTAAGCGCAGTACCGCTGATAATAAGCGACGATTCGTGAATACTGTGAGAAAAGGCGACATTTTGATCACGGGACGTGGTATCGGTGGTTTGCTGGGTCACGCTGCTATTATGACGACGAATAATTACGTGTTAGAGATGAGGGGAGGAAACGGCTGGCAGAATGGTATTAAACGCAACAACAGGCAAATCAGCAAGCATAGATGGTTCGATGAGCATAGGTCGGATTGGACTACTGTTTACCGGTGTCCGAACGCAGCTGTTGCTAATGGCGCCGCTCTGTGGGCCGATCATAAGTATTACAATCCAACCGGTGGTTCTCAAAAGAAAATTCATATCACCTACAAAATTACACTTAACGTTTGGTCCATAAACCCGAGCTATTGTTCGAAACTTGTTATTCAAGCGTATTACTTTGGTAGTGGCAAGAGAAAAGTGATAAGCCGTGATATATCACTGAGGCGAGTAATAGTGCCCACAATGATTCCGAGTTACTTCCTAGCCCCTTATAAGTTAAGGAATATGGGACGATTTTAATGATCTGTAAGTAAATAGTGATACTATGAAATTTATTAGTAGATATTAAACTATAGGTTTGTCGTTGTTAAGTGTATAATTTGAGATATTATACACTTAACAACGACATTGAGGTTAAGTCATTTTTATGTTCATAATAGCCAATAAATAGGGTTTTTAAGAAAAAAAAACGTCACTTTATTTAAAAGTTTGAATAGGATCATAGTGCATATTGTTAAGTTTTAAGCATTTGTAAATATCTATAGTAACAGTGTTAATTCATTTATGCGCAAAATTTGTAGAGCGTAAGTGTTTGCATGCTAGTAATTATTATAATTTTTAAAAATATTTTTTGGCCTATCATAATCATAATGGCCAGCCATCAGCCATAAATTAGAGAGTAAATAAATAATTTTATTTCTGTCATTACAGCTACAAACGACAATTTATTTATTTTAGTACTGGATAAATAACCCAATAATAATATAAGATTTTTTATTATTACTCGTATCTGCCAAATACTATCTTATGATAATCTGTTTGTCTTTATACCGATAAGAGGACTTAAAGTATTTCTTTATTATGTCGTTGAAAATATATCTTTTCGAGATTTTTTGCTTGATTTTAATTGTTCCGGATCAAGTGGTCTAGATATCCATTGATATCGATATATTTGTAAAAGACGATTCTTTGACAATATTTTTTCTTATAATAAAAAATAAAAACTGCAATCTCACTAATATAAGTATTATACCTCAAAGTGAAATGTAGAATTGAAGAAGATCAGTGATTTATTATATTTTTCATCCATTTTTATTTTTAGTAAATCGAGTTTACTATATGAAGGATTTACCTACCTGTAGATATTTATAATAAGTCAGTCCATTACTGGGCTTTAAAATTAGCTGGCCAAATAGGGAGGCAACCAACACGTAGCAATTTATGTACACACGGCTGCATGTCAGGTTACCACAAATTGACAAATTTTCCAGTTGATTTCAAAGTCTATCCTCAAAACATTAAGATTTAAAATCAAGTGTAGAAACTTGAGAGATTCGTATAGCCTGATATATTGTTGGCTGTATGTAGAGAATAAAGGAATTATATTTTGGACTAATTGATATAATTCTGATCATATATGTTCATATAGGACAGAAATGGTCTTATATTTCGTCTGATGTATGGCGGATATAAGGTAGGGCAAGACCGGCAACATCGGTTCTTCTACAAAGAAGGCGTTATCGCCTTTATAACCTCTTTTCTGTTTTATGAAGTTGTTTGTTGAAATAAATACACTATTTGTATTTACAGTATTTTATAGATTTTTTTAGTACTATGTGTTATATTATCTGATATAAATCATACACAGGTGCACCCGTTAATGGTACAAATACCACCATTAATGTAACCCCTTTTCTTGCAGTTGGCAATGCATACGTAGAATACGCAACCGCCACCAGGCAGAGTTGGACCTTTTATATCTCTCTTTTGCAAAAACCTGGGGTTCATATATTCTGAAAGAGAGAAATATAATCATTATACTGTATTAAAGATTATGTAACGCTAAACAGATCTGAAACATCGAATATTGCTTGATAAGTCTGTGTGTTAACTGTGAGTGCTGTTTAGTTTAACGTTTCTAAGGGATCATCAGTTCGAGATTTGAACGTTTCAGTGGTTATGGCTTAGTTACACTAGTCAACGGAACCAGCAAGCGAAGTGCGTGTGACCTCTGCTGACTGACTGACTGACTCACTCCATGCTTTTTTCGGGTAGATAAGAGTGAGGAAAATGACATTTTCGTGTATGGAGACTGACTATATTTTTTTTAAATGAGTTGAAGTGGCATATGCGGTACAGCCAAAAAACAAAATGGCGGCGAGATAATTTTTTTCAATTGCTACAGTATTCACTCTACGGTAACGATATTCAAAATGGTCGTAGAGTGGGCTAAAAAAAATGAGCACTGGAAAAAAGGTTTGATTAAAAAAAACAAAATGGCGGCCGAGATATTTAACCTCGAAAATTGACATTTTTCGACCTCTGTTCGGGCAATCGTCAATTGTTTTTTCTGTGGGTCCGGAGGGGGGATTTTTGCTCCTTCAGCTCGGAAGTATAGTCGATTTTCACGGACGAGGGAGTTTTCATTTGCGCTTCAACATGGCGGCGGCGGGGGCGGCCATTTTGTTTCGGCAATGAAAAATCGCCATTTTCCAGTGAGATTTTCTCCAAGATGGCGGCAATCGGACTGGATTTCGTGTTCTATGGGGCGGTCGTGGGGCTCGGCAGGATCTTTCCATACTTCAGTACGTAATTTCTACCATTTTCGTGGTAGTTTATGAGATTTTGGGAGAAAAGTGAAATTTCGAAATACGCACTTTTCGCGGAAAACAGACTCGGTGCGGTGTGGCGCCGGGGGAGCCCTATGACTTTTGGTAGTTTTCGTTTCCGCGAGCTGACAACCCTGGGCTCCACGGTAGAAAACGTGTTTTTCGGCATGCCCTCATAACCCGAATTGTTTGGGAACCTGGGTGGCCAGCGGAGAAAATCTGTGAATGAGGTGTCGCGCCAGATATAGTCGTGACTATGGGAAAATTGTGAAACTCGGGGAAAATCAATATGGCGGCGCCGGCAGCGGCCATTTTGTGATTTTTTCACTTTTTCGAAAAATTCAAAACGCACTTTTAGCCTCACATGGCAACATCGGAGCTCTTCGTCTGTGTATGGACCGGTCGTGAGACTCCGGCTGGCTCTTTCGAATGAGGTGAAAAATTTCCCCGATTTTAGGGTAATTTCGGAGATTTACCCCAAAAAGGTGAAAAGTAGAAGGAGCCGTTTCGGGAATTTCAAAAATGTCTTTTCCTCGACGGAGGGCACTCCCCGAAATGACATTTGGCCATTTTCATCGTCGTCACCTGGCAACCCCGGCGGTTGCGGCGATTTGAAAAATTTCACCCATTTTTTACTTTGTCAACTCTAGCGCAGTCGGTATTGTCACTAGGAAAATGATAAAAAGTGCATCGGATGCGCTATCAAGTTGGCCACATCGGTACGGAGCAGGATTTTCAAAATCCAAGATGGCGGCCAAACTAGCAGCCGTTTTATCCGAAAAATTGGGTATCGTCACCACGACGAGCCGATTTTGACGCACTTGGCGACATTTGTCAGAGTACTTCCGGGGAAACAATTTTTAGGCAAGTAGCTTAAATGTTGCCAGGTGAAAAAAAATCTCGAAAATTTTTGATACTTTATGAGATTTTAGAGGAAACAATTTTTGTCGAATTTTTGAACTTTTTTGATGCAAATATTTTAATTTTAACTTTTCAAGGTACGTGATGGAAATTATAGAACGATCGACTGGCAACACTGAGAGCGAACAACGTTTGAAATTCAACCTCGATTATGACCGACTTGGCAACCCTGCAGGTGTTTGGCATGTATGGAGCGAATGTGTATCTCTATAGACTCTTTCGCATGGTGGAAAAAAATTACCCGATTTTAGGGTAGTTTTTGAGATTTACCCCAAAAACTGTAAATGTCAAAGGAACACTTTTAGAGCTTGAAAATTACTACCAGTCGATGGAGGACGCATCCCGAAATGACATTTGACTATTTTCATCGCCTACACCTGGCAACCCTGGCAGCTACGGTGGTTTGAAGATTTAATGCCCACTGTTCACGTTTTGGACTCTAGCTCAGTCACTATTGCCGCTAGGAAAATAACAAAAACTGCGTTGGATGCTCCAATAGGTGGGCTACATAGGTCTTAGGTTGAAATTTCAAAATTCAAGATGGCGGCTTATACAGCGTCCACTTTATCTAGAAAATTGATCATTTTTCATAACTTTCACTTTATAGAGCTGATTTTGGCGTTTTAGGTAACATTTTTAAGAATACTTTTAACAAAAATATGTATTCAGCTGAAGTGTTGCCAGATGAAAAAAAAATCTGAACATTTCTTGATACCGGGATTTTTGAGAAATTTTCATGTATGTCATTTATGAAAAATATTAAAACAATTCTTTACAATAATTTTACTGTTTCACAAAAAAATTACTATCGAATTTATAACATAATTGATGGAATAATTTGAGTGATCGACTAGCAACTGATAGTAAGTCACCATAAATTTCAGAATGATTCTGACCGAGTTGGCGACTCGGGAGCTTTATAGCTTATATAGACCGTTTGTGTATCTTTACCCAATCTTTACGTGGTGAGAAAAAAATTCCACTATTTTAGACAGAAACGTGAAGCGAGCGAGACATTGTCATTCAGTTAGATTAGAACTGTGACTAAAACAAAAAGCGAGCGAAGCGAGCCATAAAGGGTGACCATTTAGAGAGATTTGATTAATTCGTAAGGTTAGAACTGTGACTAAAATAAAATGCGAGCGAAGCGAGCCATAAAGAACACCATCACTATGAATCTGATCAACCAGTTAGATTAGAACTGTGAATAAAACAAAAGGCGAGCGAAGCGAGCCATAATGCGAGACCATTAAAAGGGACCTGATCAACCGGTTATGTTAGCACTGTAACTAAAACAAAAAGCGAGCGAAGCGAGCCATAAAGAGAGACCATTTAGAGAGATTTGGTTAATTGGTAAGGTTAGAACTGTGACTAAAATAAAATGCGAGCGAAGCGAGCCATAAAGAACACCATCAATAGAGGCCTGGTCAATCAGTTAGAGAAGAACTGCCAATAAAACAAAAAAGCGAGCGAAGCGAGCCAATAATGCCAGACCATTAAGAGAGACCTGATCAATCGATTATGTAAGCACTGCGTCTAAAACAAAAAGCGAGCAAAGCGAGCCATAAACAGTTACTATTAAGAGAGATTTGGTTAATTGGTAGGGTTAGAACTGTGACTAAAATAAAATGCGAGTGAAGCGAGCCATAAAGGACACCATCAATAGAGACCTGGTCAATCGGTTAGATTAGAACTGCGAAAAAAAAAAAGCGAGCGAAGCGAGCCATAATAAATGGAGACCTGGTCAATCGGATAAGGAACTGTGACTAAATGCAGGGCTTGGAAACCGGTTTATTTTTTTAACCGGTTCGACGTAAGTACATGCGAAACGTTACATAAAAGGTTCAGCTCCTTTGAACCGGTTTTTAAACCGGTTCACCAACCGGTTTAAATATGACTCCAGACA